ATACACGAAACGGACACAAATAATACCCAGACTCAGAACAATAATTTGTGGATCACATATACATACATAGTTCTATGTGGGGATCGAATCCATAACACTCAGCGCAGTAGGAAGCGGCGAGGTAACCGCTTAAACCTGTCTTAAATGTAGACTTTCAATACCTTTACACATAAGTCTCCTCCAATCGTGTAATATAAGAACAAGACTGGAACGATTAAAGTTTACACCTAGTATAGTTAAGTGTGGAACTGTTGATAAACACCTTTGTGATTGGCCATGATCACTGACTTCAGAAATAACACCAATGCAGGTGTATGTACCATGTCCTAAAAAACACAAACACAGACTTTGTTGTGGCTGCTATGAGTATGTGCAATCGAATTTATTTCCAGTTTTACGTAACCAGTGTTTACTAAAATGCGGAAAATTACTAGCGGCCAAAACATTCCTTCGGTGTATAGTTATTCAGATGTCGGTGGTAAAATATTGCAAGTGCAAGCCGTAACATAGTTTTGCAGTAATAAAATAATCTTTCGTGTATTATAAATATCTTCCTACTCGTCTGCTACATTAATTATCACAAAATCATTGTTTTTGAATGGCAACATTCAAAAACAATAATTTTGTGCCCAAGAATGTAGGATAACGTACTGATCACACAAGACATAATTAACCTTAATATTTATTCATAAGATTTAGTGTATCATAAAAATAACAGTTGATAGATTAAACCATAATAAATAAGAGTTACAAAGCTTTTATCGAGATATGATGTTATAAATGAAAATGTCAATTTGTTCCTTTGCCTGTTTTACTTAATTAGTTCCATCTAGGTGGGGCATCCTCTCATCGTCGATCCCACAGTGCCTTAAGACGAAAGTCTTTAATGAGTGCGTCCTACCCGTCATGACATACGGAGCTGAAACGTGGACACTTACGGTACGGCTGGTCCACAAGTTCAAAGTCGCTCAACGTGCTATGGAAAGGGCTATGCTCGGCGTTTCTCTAAGGGATCGCATCAGAAATGAGGTGATCCGGCAGAGAACTAAGGTCACCGACATAGCGTACCGGATCAGCAAGCTGAAGTGGCAGTGGGCTGGCCATATTAGCCGCAGAGCGGATAACCGTTGGGGAAAACGAGTTCTTGAGTGGAGACCGCGTCTCGGCAAGCGTAGTGTAGGACGCCCACAGGCCAGGTGGAGTCACGATTTGCGCAAGATGGCTGGCAGGAGCTGGATGCGAGAAGCCCAAAATCGATCTAAGTGGCGTGCAATGGGAGAGGCCTATGTCCAGCAGTGGACTGCGATAGGCTGATGATGAGGTGGGGCATTCCGCCAGGCATATTGTATATTAAAAATGATATAGAAAACTTACATCCAGATGAAATAAATAATAAAATACATTATTGTAATAGAAATACAGTAGTAGTCAAAAGCTTGTCATGTTTTTTGTTTTCAGTTTAATGAGCACAACCTCGAAAACTATTCGGATTGAATACCAGACACGTTTCGCGAATGTTTTTTGCTATATCTAATGGCCAATGAACTACTAAGTGATTTATTTGAAAGTTCATTTGATTGTAGATGGTTGGGTATTAGAAAATTCAAGCTTGATAGTATATATAAACGAAAATGACGTCATCCTATTTCGTGTTGACTGGAATTTCTATTATATCATTCGTACGTTACTTTGGATAGAGACACTGTTCGGATCCCACGAATTCTAAGTTGTGTACTATTTCTGTGTGGACTAGTTGTATAATCAAAACAATTTCCTCATTAACTTCAACATCCTATCTTGTGCACGTAAACTGTGTGTCGGCTACTACTACTTCTGCTTAAAATTACGCCAGGCATTTAGAAAAGAGTAAGTAAGTGAAGTGTGAAATTAATATTATTACAGTTTCATATCGACGCCAGAAAGCGATTTTATCGTATTTCGAAATATCCAATTTTATACAAGAAACCAACAATTTCTTAAATTCATGAAGTGGAAAGCCTTTTGGATTAAGGGGTACCCTATATCCTTGTCCGTCCCCTTGATAGCTTGTTTTATTAAGTAGTTTTAGGCGTGAAAATCTGATAAATATTCGCGTTTACAATATTATTTAGAATTTAGATTTCCGTGGTACATCAATAATGTCATGTAACAGTAAATTTAGGCAATAGTTTAAGTATATTACTGTGCTTATTACTGTGGTATTTGACTGGGTTAATGGCCACTTATTATTGAGATAGTTTTTAAAATAGCAATTACCTCTCGTATATTATTATTATTATATAATTATTAGAAGGCATTAATTTGTAAAATCATTTTACATATTAATGTTCAAGTTAATGGCACTTCACGTAATTGACTTTTAATATTTTTTATGATAAAGCGGGTAAACAAGTACCTACGAGTAAACTACGGGGAACCGTGCGGTCACAAGAGCCGTGTTTGAGTGCAGAATTATTTGTTCTTCTTTGTACCTCACTCACGTGGTACTCTCACTCATGGTATCACTCCGGGCGAGCCGGCCCTATCTACCGAAGCATGCGCTATGTCTATTGCCAGCTTAATAGTAACACAATATAATTATATACATTAACTATAGCATTTTTGTTTGTCCGTGTGATGTCGGAATAAGAATACGAAATGTCACCACCCCTATTCGGGTGTCGACTAAGGGAGAAAATTAAAAATCCTATAACAAGCCGTCTGGTCAGCGTGGTATAGTCTGCCAAACCCTACTTTCTTAGAAAAAGCTTATGTCCAGCAGACTATTAAAGGCTGTTGATGATAATATTTTCTAAAATAAATACGAGTATGTTACTCCTTATAATATTAGCTATTTCTCAGTGATAGTCCTCTTTTAAATCGGTCTAATAATAATAATATATAATATTTTTACGGATTTTACACAGAGCCGTCTGATCCCAAACTAGGCAGAGCCTTTACTATGGATAACCACACTGCTGATAAACATACGAGGGCGGGTCAATAAGTCCGTGACTTTTGGAATAAAACACAGATTTTTTGATAAATAAATCATTTTATTCAACGTAGTCTCCCTTGAGCTCTATACACTTTGTCCAACGCTTCTCCAATTTTTTTATCCCTTCCAAAAAATATGATTTGTCGAGGTCCTCAAAATAGGCCTTTGTTTGCAGATGACTTCATCATTGGAGTCAAATATTTTTCCACCAAGCCATTTCTTCAGGTTTGGGAACAAGAAGTAGTCACTCGGAGCCAAATCTGGAGAATAGGGCGGATGAGGGAGCAATTCATAGCCCAATTCATGGATTTTTGCCATGGCAACTGCACATGTGTGCACCCTTGCATTGTCTTGGTGGAAAAGAACTTTTTTCTTGGCCAAATAAGGTCGGTTTTTTTTCAAATCGTCATTGAATCGGTCCAATAAGTTGGCATAATATTCCCCATTGATTGTTCTTCCCTTTTGAAGGTAGTCAATGTGGATTATCCCGCGTGCATCCCAAAAGACAGTCGCCATAACTTTATTGGCTGACAAACCCACCTTGGCCTTCTTTGGCGCCGATTCACCCTTAGAAACCCACTGTTTTGACTGTTGTTTGGTCCTTGGTGTGTTGTGATGGACCCATGTTTCGTCCACGGTTACAAAACGGCGCAAAAACTCCTCCATATTGCGATTAAACAACGCCAAACCTTCCTGTGAAGTTGTTACACGATTGCGTTTGTGGTCGACTGTGAGCAATCGCGGCACTCATCTTGCGGAAAGCTTTTTCATGCCCAAGTGATCATTCAAAATTGAAACACGCGAGATCCCTACGGCTTCCACAATCTCTTGCACTTTCAATCTTCGGTCGGCCAACACCATATCGTGAATTTTTTCGATTGTTTCGGGTAAAGAGACCTCAACTGGGCGTCCAGGATGTTCGGCATCTTCAGTGCTTGTACGGCCACAACGAAATTCAGTAAACCACTTTTTTACCATTGAAATCGATGGTGCAGAGTCCCCATAGTGTTTATCAAGCTTAGCCTTGGTCTCGGTAATGGTTTTTTTTTCGCAAAAAATAATGCTTAATAAGCACACGAAATTCACTTTTTTCCATTTTTTCCTCAAATTACTGGGTAGTCTGATAAAGATAGCTGTCAAACACAAACTAACTGACGCAGCAAGTTCAAATTATGACAGGAGTCAACTGACAGATGCCTGTTGACAGGAGTAGTGTTGTTTTTTCAGTAAAGAGGTCAGAAATTCAAAAAGTCACGGACTTATTGACCCGCCCTCGTACATATACATTTCTAAATACATACATATAATAGATAAAGTACACCCAGACACAGAACAAATGACCGTGCTCATCACACAATTACTTGTCTTAGGTGGGAATCGAACCCACGACTTCTGACGTAGCAGTCAGGGTCACTAACCACTAGACCAACAGGCCAGACCTGGTAGACTAAAAATTAGTTCAATCTTTATTTATATGGCAATAACTCATTCATATATTTTTTAAATACAGTTTTTTCTAAAGTTTTTTCTGCTAAAGTTTTGACGATGTTTTATTTACTACGTTCAGATTGAGGTGTATGAATTTTGTTTATAGTTAACGACTTATGTCGATATCGGTGTTGCTTATAGAACTTCTCTTTGTTAGAAAATGTGATTGAACATACCGAGTTATGTTTTTCAAAACATGTGCAAAGGAAATTCACAAAATGTCTGTGTTGTAATTAGTAGTGATTCAAAGCAGTTTTTAATTAGTGGCTATTCGATATTTTGTCATTGATCTTCTTTGACAATTTTTTTAATCATAACCATTAACAACCTCTCCTTAGAAAGAAGGTTTTAGCCTGCTATACCACGCTGGCCAGATGTTCTTAATAACTATTATTTTTCATGGAAGAGAAACGACTCCTAACTTACCATTCATAATCGATCACCACTAGGCCAACAGGCCTATCATTTTATATAAATTATTGTTCTTCATATTGTGTCAAGTAATTTTACTAAATAATTGTTTCTCTCGCTTCAGGTAACACTTGGTGAAGGCTTCTCCATCTCAGATACACACGTTTTCAGGTATTTTAATAGGCTATTTTAAAATAGTATTTATACTTGTAAAGCGCCTTTTCTGTACATCGTTTTAAATTTAATTATATGTATGCCGTGAGTCTCATGTTTTGCCGAAAGGATGGAGAAGGATAGCTCGAGATAGAGATAAGGCCAAGGAACTGAGGGAGGCCTATGTCGAAGGGAATCTGACTAAGTTGTTGCCAGAGAAAATATTTTATCAAAAAATTGAGAATATTGTTTTGTGAGTAGTACATAACTTAAAATGGGTAATATGGTCAGTGAATAAAGGCTTTTATTAATTATTATTATGCAGTGAGTCTCACATAAATTATATTCGGGTATGAACCTGTGTCATTTGATTGGCAAACGTCCTTTTTTCTTCTACCACATCTTAATGATAACTTAAGCAGCATTTAAAATAAAAAAAAATACGAATTATACTAAGCAAGTACCATAAATAATTAACGTTTAAAAAATATCACTGCCATCTATGCGATAACTTCATTATGAATCATCATCATCATCATCAGCCTATCGCAGTCCACTGCTGGACATAGGCCTCTCCCATTGCATGCCAATTAGATCGATTTTCTTCTTTTTGAGAGAATCGATCGATCAATTTTGATCCTGCGCAAATCGTCACTCCACCGGCCTGTGGGCGTCCTACACTACGTTTGCCGAGAGGCGGTCCCCACTCAAGAACACGTTTTCCCAACGGTTGTCAGTTCTGCGGCTAATATGGCCAGCCCACTGCCACTTCAGCTTGCTGATCCGGTAGACTATGTTGGTGATATTGGTTTATTTGAATCATTATGAATAGTTATAAATATTATCCTTCATTCCTTAGTTTTACATTCTTAGGGATAGTATTTTTCTCCAAGTTAGTACGGAATTAAACGGAAAGCATACCCTCCCAAATTAAAAAAGATTTTGCGAAAACATTTCATAAATGACGGAGTATTGAAGAAACAAACATAAAAATAAGAAAATTCTTGGTTCAGTGTATTCAACCTTTAAACATATAATTACAAAATAATTACAGCCATCTATTGGCATTTATTGCCATTTATAAACAATGTGAATAACTTTTGTCACAAAATAAGAGATGTTCACTATTATGTCACCTTCTGTTATTACATAAGCTACTACTACTTAAAATATTTCCAAATTAACTTTCTCTGCAATAATCGTATCTTGTCTTGCATTTTGATACACACTTGTTAAGATTTCACTTCTAGACTTATTAAAGCTCTAATTAACTTTAATAGAAAGCCAATTTGTATCACGAGAAACCTAAACTATTAAATACGTTGAGAGTTGGTTTACCAGAGCAAAATAACTAAAATAATTGAAAATTGGAGAGCTAGAAACTAGAAGAGATTATATCAATATTCTAAACTAAACATCTCTTACCTCGCCCCTCTTCAAATGAAGAAGGTCCTTCCAACCTTCTTCTTAGGTACATAATGTTTGGGATTTACAATAAATGATGTTATTATTTATAGAAGCTAATAAATGCTCTAACCATATGTAGAATTCAATACGTTGACCAAGGTCGATGTTAAATGGTAGTGCATCTCATGCCGGCCTGTATGTGACCGCTTGTGGACGGCACCTGTTGTAGTGACCAGAATTTAACTGGTGACTTCTGTGTGTGGGTTGGCCGTTAACGCCACCTAATTAAAGGGATACAGGGGAATGGGCCGACATTAATTAATACTTCTACAAAAATACTAAGAGAAACACTTTTTGAATTTTTATTCTAAGAAATTGAACTCTGTTTGTCCTTTAGTGTTCTCTATGTAATTATGGTTATTTACGGCATTGACGACTTTCCGTTTCTCATTATTGCTACCTTAAATAGAAAATTTCATTGAATCAATCAACAAGTGTGTAATATGTGTTACGTAAACATGTTTAGAGAAAGCTTGAAGATTCTTAAGCATCGCGATAAAATTTATCTACTACTTCTCATTTTACGCAGCACCGAAGATGGCTAAGGATAAATATTAAATAATCACATGATATTTACCATTGTCACGGTTGGAATCCCAACAAAGGTTTTAAAAATGACTTTGACTGCACGGATGGCGTAGTGGTTTAAGCGGTCGCCACGCCGCTTCCTACTACGCCGAGTGTTGTGGGTTCAAAACCCACATAGGACGACACTTTGTGTGATCCACAAATTGTTGTTCTGAGTCTGGGTGTTTTTTGTGTCCGTTTCATGTACGTTTGTAAAGTACCCCAAGACACAGGATATTTTCCTAATGCGGGAGTTGTCTTTAAAGAACAAAAAAAAACTGCATTCACCCCTGCATGGTGTTATTATCCACCGTATGATAATTATTATGTAAATAATTTTAAACCATAAATTATTAACGCGAAACCAACCAGTCTGGCCAGCGTGGTGTAGTAGGCTAAAACCTCCTTTCTATGGAGAGGCCCATGTATGAGGCCCATACATGGGACTAGTAAAGGCTGTTGATGATGATGATGAAAACGCAAAAGTTGAAATGTTAGTATAAGATCAGTCAATTCGACTACGTCTCTTTTGCCTGTATAATCTCAATAAATTGTAAATAAAATAAATTCTGCATTAATTGGGACGTCAACCTATTCTCTGATAATATCTACCGCTAGCTGATTATTCCATTGAAATTAGAGCCGTAAACAGGATCCTTTGCCTTAAGTAAATTATGATCATACCAGACATACTTGAACTCGTTTGAGTCCACTAATTTACTCAGAATCTGTTCGAAAGCTGTCCCGCCGAGCAGGTACAGTCAATAATATTTTATTCGCTATCTGCATTGAGTATGACGATCCCAAATTAATATTAAAATTCAGTATCTGAAGAATATGTTTTATTTAAACAGGTATATTTGTAGTTTTATTGACATCGTTCATGTATTATTAACTGATCTTACTTAACATCCAATAAACAGTTACAATGAGTTATAAATAAAATGTGTAAATTAGTTAACGAGTACCTTTTTTATAAGAGCAATAAAAAAAAAAACTAAAATTACTACACAATCACGTCGCAATTAGCGACATATTCGTAATTATGTGAATTACAAATAATAAAATAATTAAGATTCACTCTAGGTTACCGTAGTTATATGTTTTGAATGGCATACGTATAGATGAATGCATAGGTATATTGCCTAAGCATGCAAGCAAGTACGGCCTTGCTGTGCTATGAATGAAAATCATTATCTATTGACTTTATTTTGCTCTTCCTGTAATAACTTAAATAAATATTGCTCACAATCCACAGATAATTAAACCTAAAAATGCGTTAAAATCTCCAACTTTATAGGTAAACACCTATTATTATCGAAGGACTTAAGTTAAGCCTTTTCTGTCAATATAAGACATTGACGAGATAAAACCAATCATAAATTCAATGTCATGAGTACTATTTATACTTTTTAGTTTTACATTATATTTTGTATCTCCCGAAATATATTTTAAGTATTTCTTACATCGTATGCCTAAATTATTCATAAGTTCAGGTAGTCTACTTTTTGCCCCACTTTATATATATATATGTAGAAACTTTAACTCCTATGTTGCCTGAACTATTATACTCTTCTCCAAAGCCTCGTTTACCTTTATCTCTACCAATTGTTCTACGTCCAAATGAATTACAACTATGAACACATTTTTAATTTCTTCTCTCCTCTAAAGGGGTTTTACGTTACCAAAAATCAAAAAGTATAGAATTAGACCTGTTACAATTTTATTATAAGTAGTAGATAAAATGTAAAAGTAATTCTATGATAACGCCTTTCAACTAATACCAAGGTCGTATTTAGGCCTTACCGGAAAACATTTTAAGTGTAACCATTCTAAACACAGTTATCATTTCATCCAACTTCTCGCATCACCTTATCAATTACGTCATTTATTTTTTCTCCGTCACCGTACCGTGTATATATTTTCATATCAACAATCTCACATTCCGAAAGCCCTAAATATTAAACTATTTAATGGAATCTATACGTATACACACTGTTTCTTCTGCATATCAATGACATGTTGCAAACTAGTGGCATCCATTGCTATGCAGATGATAGCACAGGAGATGCCCTTCATACCGGCTGCTCCAACATTTCTCGGGAAAACGTCATCGAGAGTCGAAACAAACTTGTGTCTGAAATTGAAACTTCCTTAGCGGAGGTTTCAGATTGGGGCCAACTAAATCTAGTCCAGTTTAACCCAAAAAAGACACAGGTATGTGCGTTCACCGCAAAAAAGATACCATTTGTAGTATCAACTCATTTTGAGAGCACCTCCCTAACTGCCTCAGCCAACATCGGAATCCTAGGCATCGATATATCGAGCGAAGTCCAGTTTCGGGGTCACTTAGAGGGTAAGGTCAAATTGGCCTCGAAGTAGCTCGGTGTACTAAACAGATCGAGGCAGTATTTCACTCCGGCCCACCGCCTTCAGCTCTATAAGGCGCAAGTCCGGCCGCATATGGAATACTGTTCTCATCTCTACGCAGGGGCACCTCAGTACCAGCTTCTCCTTCTGGACCGCATCCAACGAAGAGCGACTCAAATCGTCGATAGCCCAAACATCTGCGATCGGCTCGATCCCTTGGCGTTACGTAGAGATGTGGCTTCACTCTGCATTCGAGACAGTTTTTGCCCCGCACAACCATTCTGTGGAACGGGTAATCGTCTACGGTATTTCCGGACCGATACGACCTTCAAACCTTCAAAAAAAGAGCGTACTCCTTCCTAAAAGGCCGGCACTGACTCCTGAGTTGCAGACGTTCATGGGCGGCGATAGTCACTTTCCATCAGGTGACCCGTCTGCTCGTCAGCCCTCTCTAACATAAAAAAACAAAAAAAAAAAAAACTATTTGGTTTGTGTACGATTCGAAAACTCAAGAAGTTCTGCACCAATTAGGCTTAAATTTTGACAAGATATGTTTGTATATCTTGTTAAAATTTAAGCCT